TCGATCTTTCAGTTGGTGCATTTGAATAGGTTGCACATTGCACAACACTGCCTGGAAAAGGGAGAAAGTAAAATGTGAGAGAAACGTGATACAGCATATGCTGATACATTTTTCTAATGTATGCTTACTGTATCAAGAACTGTATCAAGAAACCTATAGAATGTGGTTCCAGCAAACTCTTCTAAACCGAACTTTGTTCTTACAACAAGGCATAAGCCTCTTGGTAATTTGAGATATTTAACGAAAACAGAATATGTTCTACAGTTCCGTAGAACACAAAATTCTAAGAAAATGTAATTCAATCATAATTACTATTTCTTTTAATCATACAGAACTTCTAGTTTATCTCTCTTCAAAAGTATTGGTTAGGTAAAAACAAGCTGCATGCGAAAGTTTTGGGCTGAGTAGAAACAGTATAGGCAACTTTTTTTTAGCAAACATCCTCTTTTTCTACAAATCTTTAAACCCGTGAGCTATCGCGTTTCCCCTGCACGGCTAGGTGGAATATGGCCAGTAGTGATTCCGCCAAGGTAGCAAGTATGATTTGGTTTCAGAGGTCTAACGCTATTACCTGTTTGAGATAAGAAGGGGTATAATGGAAAAAGTATTGCTTAGATGTTGTATACACACGAAATAAGAATCTTATTTTTTTCCAACATTACAATTTTCTGAAAAAATAAGTAGCAGAAGTCTCACAATACTGCGCTTTAGTCCTACTTCCGCATTAGGGTCGATGTGCTACTTTTCAAAACATGCAACAAAAACTTGGCGATGGTAGATTAATGACTAGCATAAGGTCAGCCGCAGTAAAAACTTGGCAGAAATTGTCTTTCGAGCCAATTTGGAAAAACTCAAGGTTGCTGGTCAGTTTTTTCTGGAGGGTTTTGGTAATTTAGTTTGGAAAAGTGGATTTAACAGTAGCAGTAGGAAAACGAAAAGCTTAAAACCACTGATTCCTATTGAGAGTTATTGAGACTAAGTGAGGGAAGCGGAAAGTATGGATTATGGTGGAGGATTAATTTAGAATTCTATCAAAAAGCTTGGCTGCTAAACGTTATTCAATTTGACCTGACTTAAGTTGTTATATAATTTTACTATTCTCTGTCTCGAGCAAGATGTAACCTTTCCAAATGTTAAGTAGGTATTTGATTTGAGCACTATACCTTTGCTCTAGATATCTTGGAAATCATACTCCCTTAACGCCTCTCCAAGACTTGCAAAAACAAGAAGCTTTCTTCCTCCATTTGTATTAAAAAAACCACTATTTTCATTTTCAAGACCTGTATGACAACCGGAGAAAACCTAACTGATACCAAAATGATTGCGATGCTTGCTAAGAATTAAATATAGGTAGCTTTTGTGAAGTAGCAGGCTTAAAGGTCTGTAGGCATGCATTGCCGTACATTTTATGTCTCAGTCAGCTCGGAAAATATAGAAATGATAATGTGAGTTTGACAAGCACGCAGCTCACTTATACATAAAGCTGCCAGCCCTATGTCATGAGGCACTAAGTTTGATTTTAAGATAACGAGCTAGGTAATCAGCTAGGGCTGCTCGAGCAGAGATTAGTAATTTTGATTTCAAATATAAAGATTGCAGTATGACTGAAAATTATACCATGGAACACATGTAACCCTTAATCAATAAAGAACGCGAAAAAGCTATATAGCTCTACGCAACTGGAAAAAGAATACAAGTTGAAACGATTATTGAAGAAATACAGATCTTTTTTGATTTATAGTTTACCTCAGCGAGCGCCTCGTAGATAAACTGGTACTGATCCACCGAATCGATGAGATGAGGTCGGGAATTGACGAGTGTCTTCGCATACTCGTATACGTCGAGCTGACCCGTCTTCTTCATAAGCTCCAAATTGGCGTCCAGCGCCAGAAATGCTCCACTTCGTCCTGCACCATTACTAAAACGAAAAATAAAACAAAGAGAATGAGGAAGCATTCCTTTCCACTTTGAATTGTCCTCGTATCAAAACAAATTAGTCGCTTTCATCAAGCGTATTCCGGTTTTTTCTTAATGTCGCTACACTTGAGAGCTAATGTTGTCGGTAGCACAGTCTTGAATAGATGCCTGACCACAATTCAACATGATTAGAATTTCGAGAAATGTTTTGACAGATTTTAAGTTTAAAGACTTAGTGATCTTTGTATTTTCAGTGGGACTAAGAACCTCATTTTGGACTATTTTGTGATTCTGCGATGAAAACTCGGATAACCGCGAACATGTATTTCGACGACTACACATTTGGGCAAAGTTAAATATCGTTTCGACATTTATCGCGGCGGCCCGTTAATTCACCGAGTGCATGAAAAACTCCTTTGATCCCTCTCAGCGCACGCAGACGCTTTATCTGGGATGCCTATTACACGCTAGATACAATTAGATATGGCGATTCGGGATACGACTTTTCGACGACATCTGAATTCATTCATACATACTGTTACTTACTTCCTACTGAACTATTCCTGATGCTTATCGAAGAGCGTAACCTGCTTTGCTTCGATAAAAGTTGCAGTCTTAACTAGTTGCCTGTTGTTCTTTTTAACGCCGACCTGACGCCTTTCATTCTCTTTTGATATTTCCCATGTAAGGCGGTGTTCCCCAATTGGGGTCTACCGTCCATCAGCAAAACAGTTGCATTGCCAAATTGAGATGTTTTCTCACATTAATTTATTTCTACTTGCGTAGCATAAAGTCTACTCAAAGACGAACATCAG